TTAGAAACTCTCGAAACTGTTTTGCACGCAACAACTACGATGTACAAGTGGCACGTACTGTGATTTTAGATTTATCGAATACACAAGCGATGACGTGAGCTGCAAGACAATTGAGTCAAACATATAACATTTTCACTCTGATTTTCCTTCATTTATTGATTCCATATTTAGTGTTTGTGATTAGAGACAGTGCTATGCGCAAAAATTTATATAATAACCATAATTTCGAAATTTAAGTTTAAATTTGCATTAAAAAATTTGAATTTGACTTAAAGTATTTAAATTTAATATTTTAAATGTATTTTCAATTACAAGGAACATTCATCATAAAATGAATATATAGCTCCTTCGGTTTCATTTCAGAAGCAAAAGAGAAGAAAAATGTTTGACAGATGTGCTTAATAATGTGAAATGGAAGAAGAGAAAATTCTTTTTTAAACATTACGTAAAGTACATAAGTGGAATACTTCTCAATAGCGTATAATGGAGAATTCATGTACAAATTACATTTTGAAAGTGGATAGAAGTTCAACCGCGAGGTAGGATCACAAATTTTATGTCAAACAGTTGATGATATTTGATTAAGAATAAATCGTATTTTATGCAATTTCAGAATCCAACAAGTTAGTCAAATATGTGATGTAGAAATCAACAAACAATTCAAAGTGTATATCCTTCATAATCAACAAAATAATTACAGTCATCATTCTCTCATAATTTTAACTCACCACATACCGTGTGACTATAATTAATTTTATTCAGCACATACAATGTCACTGTTCGTCCTTGCTCTCACCCTTAATTCGCTTCGGAAAAAATCGACATTTATGCTAAGCGGCTGCTGTTCAGGAAAATGTAGAATTCTCGTCAATCGGCACTTGTCCCTCATTATCGCCTGTTCCCTTGTTATCTCGATCGTCACATCCTGTCGGCTATTATTTCCATTATCTTTAATACTCGAACTTAACCAGGTGGAACGTCTACGGCTTGATCAATCTTTCTAATTGGATACCCACGTCAATATGTAATTGGTCTTGTCATTGATTCCGTGTTATCAAGTCTTCGAGGCTATTACGCACGTGTAGATCTACGGAAAATATATTTCGATTGACTTATATCGGTAATAGTACATGAATATTAACAAAACATGCAAATTAATAGCAAATTAATTAAGAAAAAGCATCCGTTGATTTTAGATATCACTTGTCTGATAAAGTTTTAACTGTAAAAAAAAAATTATGAGAGAGTTTCAGTCCCTTTATTTTTCACATCTTGGTATTTACAATTTCTTACAGTTCCCTGAAAACAAAATCACTTGAAAGGTCATTATTCCCACATGATATATAGTTAAAAACTTTCGAAAAGCCGTGACCGACCAAGTAAGCCGACCAAAGATTGAAGACTTCGAACGTTGCTTCAGGAAGCAGGACAGACATTTCTGTCAATGTATCGTTCCCTAAGGGAATTTGAAAGTGACTATTTCGATACCTGAAGAAACGTAAGCCACAAAAACTTGTGTAAATATTACTTTTCAAATAAATGACATATATCTTCTTATTTCTTTTTTTCAGATTGTCGGCGAAACTTTCACGATACAGTAGGTAATGATAGCGATTGCGTAAGCTGCTGATTTTTTGTTTAACGTCGACATAAAGCCCGAACGAAATTGTTTACTCCTTCCTGAAGAGAATCCGGAAAGAGGTTTATGTAATGATAATTACTTTCAATATAGGAGCCTAACTGCAAACAATTTGCGTGACCTGCGTATATCCTCTTTATTGAAGGTATTTAATTTTCATGCACCGCTTGTTATATATTATACATTATTGTTGCTGATTTCTTATCTTATATAATCAAATGATTTGTTACAAGATAGTAGTAAATGTTTTGAAGCTTTTACGATTTTAAACATTTAGTTAAATAGTATGGAATTTGTATTGGAAATAGAGGAAAGTGGCCATGACCGTTTCATATTACAACTCGTGGAACCGTTTTCTTTAAATATATTTAAAAGTACTATAACTGTCAAAGAACACGATACATATATTACATAAAGATTTGTATAAGAAGATTAAAAGCTATTACATATGAATTCTATGTTCCGTATAATATGATTTTAAATAACACGAAACTAATTAACTGTGATATTCGAAAATTCTCGAATCCAACTCTTATAACAAATTTGTCATGTCCTCAACGTACATTATACTATGTCTACGAAATATTTCTATATTTCCAGTTAAAAGAAACACATTGTAGATGATCAACAACGTTGTTTGGAGTCATGGAAATGTGAAAATAACAGTCAATAATACGTACTTACGATTGTGGAATTGAGAAAACTCGTTTCAATGGTAATATTGATAAATCTTATTGATAAATTGATTGAATATCATTGAAGTGTTAAGAAATTTGAGTGACAAGATAAAATGCAATGCTAATCATTTTCTTTTGAAGAAGAATGATCGTAACGATAATTGATCGCGTGGTTGTTGCTCCGAAGAAATTTGCGCAAATTGGCGCTTAACGTTGGAGAAATGCTCCCTATCGAGCGCGTACGCAAGCTGAAAGTGAAAAATAGTTACGAGAGAGAAAGTGACAACGTCATCCATCAAGTATTCGTTGTTGCGGCGCGATTAAGAAAAAAAACGTTTCTCAATACTAGCCTTGAGAATGGGCAAGAAATAAAATAGATGGAAAAGTACTTAATTTTCTTTTCAAAAGATATTTATACGACTTATGACGGCTTCGACGAGACTTAAAGTTGATTTTAGTCTTAATTTTCTAGTTATACAAAGCGTATGAATATGTTTATATGACATGTTTATCTTATTTTCACAAATAGGACACTTTTAAAATTTTATATAATTATAATTACAATACCAACAATATAGTACGACAAGCAATGATATTAAAGTCATAGGAACCGAAGAAAACATCGTCAAAATGAAAAAAAAATATTCTAGATAATCATTCGACTGATCAAATTTCATGGTTAAAATATGTAAGAAGATTGCATTCTGAAACAGTGTGACAATCAGTTCGTAACTAAGGTTCGTGTAACGGAGCTGTGCCTCATTTCTTCGACTTCGTAACGCAGCAAATTGCGTAATGCATTACACGCGTGTCGCGTGTATTGTAAAACAGCCATCAAGCGCGTGTATACTTCGAATCCCTTGCATTCCAACGGAAGCAATAACATGCCAGGTAAATATTAAAAAGAGAAAAAGGGAGAAAGCATCACAATTAAAATTGATAAAGAAAACAAATGTGTTTGTGTTGCAATATCATTGCCGGTGATTTCCTCTGTTATAGGTGCATCAAGGATGCCGGAGAACATCGTTTTCGTAAAATTTTGCGAAATGTCGTGTAAAAACTGCAATTCTGTGGACCTTTTTCTACGAATCGAGCGCTTAACCACGATTTCTCTTTTTTAAAGAAATCAAGGATAACCGGAGGCAACGATTTGTGATAGGAAATAATAACCACATGCATGTTTAATGTTTTGTGTTAACTACCCACGTTTTAACGTTTCGTTTTTTTTATTCTTTGAAATAAGGTTCGTTCAACCGAGATGTGCTCATTACTCTCTGTTTATTCTTCAATTTCACGGCTTACTGACTTACCACTTATCTTTGCTTCACAAATTGCTGAAATCTTTTCAGTTTCCACTACCGTATTATTTCTCTTCTTATTCATGCTTCGACCCCTTGTAAATGAGAAGTTTGTAATATTTACTTGACATCGAAATTGTACACTCGATATTTAAATATTACTTATTATAAACGTTATATGAAGGTTCTTTTTAAAACAATCGCTGCCATAAGAGCTTTACATTCGTTAGCTTATTAACAACTTTCTGTATCAAAGATACTCTTGGAGCAAAGGCTATCGACTGTCGATCGTACGAAAATAATCAATAATTTATTCATTTTCTCATTTTTATTATGTAAGTACAGTTTACAGAATGAAAAATTTTATATGTATAATATTTTATAATAATTTTTAATCTTTTATAATTTATTTCTACACCTATATTGTTATTTAATAATCAATTAATAAACGTTATCTATCTATCAGTTATTTAATAACAGGTAATTTTGTATCTCAATATAAACGTAAACGAAACGTAATCAAAATCGATATTTTCACTAATTTCTATTCTTTATAAATAGTTGCAGGAAATAACAATAGGTTGAAACTGTTTCGAGGACCGGATCAGTGTTATAACAGTTTTCAACCCCTAGTGACAAATTATATCAATCTAGAAACAAACGGGTTTTTCAGGTTTCTTGGAAATTCGTCGCAAACTTGACCTTCCACGGGGAGACATGATTTCACAATAATTATTTATACAATCATAATTGATTTACTAATCACTTGCCATTTCATCTCGTCCATAAATAGTGGATTATTCAAATTAGTCTAGATATAAGGACAATGTCAATTATGTTATTTATTGACTTGTTGCTCAATAATAGAATTAATTATTCATAGTATTAATATATTGGAACATTCCAGGAAAGGTTATGAAATTATTTGAAAGATGTTAAAAGAAAAAGAATTTGAAAAGTCAGTAATCCTGTTATACACACGGAATAACTGTCACTTGTATATCATTCATGAAAGCGGTGCATGTCTCCATTTTAACGTTTTTAAATATTTCTGAAAACCAGCTTCAAGCCCCAAATAGCAGTCAAAGACTTGTGTATAATTCGACGATCAAGTAACGGGAAACGAAATAACGACAGGTAAGGTAAGGTATTTATACGCCTGTAACTTTCTGATGAGCTTAGTATGGCTATCTGGTGTTTTGTGAAATCCTTTGAGTGAAAAGAATCATTAAGAAATCATTAGTATATCATTCCTTTACAATTGCAGCCGATTGGGTCATCGAAAAATGAGGAAATCTCGAACAAAGGAATTAATCGGACTCCGTATATCTAATCAATCAGCCGCTAATGGTAGATAAGACTATCCTGTCCAGCCTGACACACTGAGTATCTAGTCTTCAATTAACTGTAACTCAGACAACAATGACGAGATTTCCAATACTTTTGCTCGTGACACTGTGCTTCTCTTTCGGAGCCTTTGGTAAGTATAATTTGGCAAATATAAGTCACTATATTCTAAACTGCATCATCTAAAAATAGAATATTGTATTTTATAATCCAATTTTCCTAATTATCCTTTTCAAACTTGATTTTCCAGACCAAAATATACTATTTGAAGCATATTTTCAAATGATTAAAAATTATTTATCTTCCACGTATGTGCTTATGCATAACAAAAAATTCCGTGAATAACTACATAAAAATGACTAGACTGCATTTTGTAAAGGAATATTCCTGTGTATTCTGTCGTATCCTAAAACTTGGTAAATATACCTAGGCATCCAAGTTAAAACCCACGTTGTTCGGGCTACTCGTCTTGACATCTTATCGCACCGTTAACTCTCTAGCTGGCGTCGATCGCAATGAAAACACTGTTGGGAAGAAGAGAAATAAAGAGAAAGAGGAAGAAAAAAAAAGAAAAAGAAATTAGCATCGTTGAAATTCTATCATTGTAATATCATATTATACTTTGAATTATTACAACTATGATCGCTTTTAACAACACATTCGATTCATTAACACCACTGTAGTTCGAGTGAATGAATTATGAAATGATTAAAAGTTCAATGTAAATTCAACGAAAATTACTAATCAAACACTACTATTATTTGACAGCAAGAAAAGGTTTCGGTCCTGGCGAGCAAGAATGGGGATACGTGAAAGTACAGCCATATTCAAATATGTTCTGGTGGCTTTATTATACTACTGCAAATGTGTCTTCTTACTATGAGAAACCATTGATCATTTGGCTACAAGGTGGACCCGGAGCGTCCTCTACTTCGTATGGAAACTTCGAAGAACTTGGACCTTTGGACGCTTATTTAAACCCCAGGAACTCTACTTGGGTACGAAAAAAGTCCACGACATGGATAAATGTATTAATATTTATTGATGAAATAATTAATTTCTTCTTTCTGTATCGAGTACAGATTTGTCTACACATAACTTATCATGTTATTTGTAAATAAGTCTCGATGTGGTAACACAAATTCGAAATTCACGAACTAAAGTTAGATTATCGATAAGGTAGATATTCGATTTTGTGATCGTATCGTTAATGAAGAACTAAAACAATACGGATTACCTCTTAAACGATGTTTCACGGCTTTCTTACTCGCAGAATTTTTATATCCTATATTTAATTTACATATGGGTATTATAAATAAATATTAAAATATTCATAGGTGAAAGACTACAACGTTCTCTTCATCGACAATCCGGTCGGTACGGGCTTCAGTTATACCACTTCTCTAGCAGGATATGCGTCAACGAATGCGGAGATTGCACACGATCTCTTGGAATGTATGAAAGGTTTTCTGAAGGAGCTACCGGAATTCGTAGATGTACCCACGTATATTACAACTGAGTCTTATGGAGGAAAAATGGGCGCGGAATTTGCCCTTGAATGGTTTAAGGTGAAATAACGTATATTATTTAAATTCATCTTATTCTCACATTCACTGTTGTTAAGATTTATATTATTTATATTTATATATAAGCAGATAAATTTTATAGAAAATTTATTTCTACGTATATTGTAAAGGGTTTTACACATATTTTGAATAAACTATTATAGAAGTGTCTTATAAGAAATCTGCTCCGCTAGTCAATTTACGTCCAGAATTCGTATCAATGTCATATATAGATATGGAATCCGGATACAGAATGAAACGCAGTATTAACATTCATTTTGCTATTGCCTCATAGTTTTTTTCAAAATTATAGGCACAAGAAAATGGAAAAATCAAAAGTAATTTGAGAGGTGTTGCCCTCGGTGATGCTTGGATCTCCCCGATTGATTCCGTAATGACTTGGGCGCCCTTCTTACTCGCCACGGTATAACATTATAACATTATTATTCGATATTTCTGATCGTCTCCTCGTCCATATTTCGTATACATCTAACGTTTCACTGAGTAAAAATATCTTCATAGGGTATGGTGGATAATGATGGCTACGAAAAAATTAACAAAGCAGCTCAGTTAACAAAAGAAGCCGTCGATAATAAGAACTGGAGAACAGCCACCAGGTTATGGAGCTATACTGAAGCAGTAATTCTGAAAGTGACTAATAATATCGATTTTTACAACATTCTTACGAAAGAAAAACTTGATCACAATCAGTACTCTGTAATCGGAAAACTTTCAATGGACCCAACATTTGCTCAAGGTAAAACTATATTATAATGATGTAAACAATAGCATAAATTAATCAGGGCGATTATTTTTAAGACTTATTCGAATATTTCAGAGTACGCCGTGTATAGTGATGTTTCTTTGGACAAACTAATGAATGGTCCAGTGAAGGAAGCTCTAAAACTACCAGTCACTCATAACGCTCAATCTAGTCTTGTGTTCAGCATGCTGAACGGTGACTTCATGAAACCTGTTATTAATATAGGTACTTAAAGCATAAATTAGAGGACAGGATAAATAGTTCTGATTAATATTGAATATTTTCTTTCTAGTGGAGGATTTGTTAAATGGAACTAATTTGAAGGTAGCAGTGATCAGTGGCCATATGGACCTCATCGTTGACACTCCAGGTACTCTTCTCCATTATATTTCTGAATGTACTAACAGCAAAGTATATCTTTTTCAACATGAAATAATAAATTTCTCAATTCCTTAACTCAATAATAGAATAATAGGAATAAGAAAACACTGAAATATTACAGAAAATATTTTACTTGAAAATTTCTCATTCATAAAAAATGCTAACTTAAAACACTCGTCTTAATCCATCGCATTCGGGGCACTATAATTTTCTAACAACTATGTAAACTATAATATTTATGCAACGATGCAGGCACTCTCCGCTGGGTTGAAAACATGAAGTGGAAGGACGCCACTTCCTGGAACCGCTCCAACAGGACACCATTGGTAGTGGAGAACATTATTGAAGGCTATGTAAAGTCTTATGGCAATTTCTCCATGTATTGGGTCAACAGAGCTGGACATATGGTAAATACGAGCCTTAATTGTTCCTTAACATGCTATTAGTTCTTTCTGCTTATAGTTTAAATTCCTTTCACGAATTATGAAATACTTTGTATGGATACAATAATATTTAACAGAATACTAAGTGAATACAATACAAATGGTGTGTAGTCATGTCACTCACTTATCGGTTTATATTTCATTGCACAGGTACCGAAGGACAATCCAGCAGCAATGGCGTCGATTCTAAAAGAGTTCACAAAATAATACGCAAATGAACGGTTCAAATCATTTAACGAAATTAACAGTACACAAAATAAATTACCGCAAGTGGCTTAAAATTCAAGTAAAATAAGAAATCAAGGAAGTAACACAAGAAGTTAGCCTTATGCCTTACAATTACAATACGTTTATTCCTAAACAATAAAATTTCATGACATCGTTTTAATGAACCCTACAAATATTACAACTAATCTGCATTCCACTTCGCATACACTCAAAATTATTCGTTTTTTCTTTATTTATTAAACACGATCCGCGACCTCTGCAAAATTAATAACGAACGAATCGTTTAATCATCGTTTAAAAGGTATTCGATTATCGAACGTTAGATCGCACTATCTGCTTCTAGGATTCAATTGAAACGATAGTTGACGTTACTCGTTATTTCCAAGAAAATTTGCCGTCACGAGGGGCGGTTCGTTTATTTTTTGCGATTCGACCGGGGTCCCAAGGCAAAATGGTTTACCGGAACGTGTTCTGCTCGCGCTGTGAATTTTCCCACACTCGTAAAACGTCGCAGAAGCAACAATCCGAAACCCGCAGACGCCCGCCGATTTTGTCAATAAGGAACGATTGTTTAGATTCGAGCGGATACTGAGCAGTAAAACGAAACGATCTGCAAACAAGACCGCCTGCGCTTGCAAAGCATTTTCACCGATGAAGAGGAAAGGCTTCTGTGGTTGCCCGATCCTGTAAATAAAACACGGAAAAACTTTCTTACCGACGCGGTAATCGAGCTTCAATCAAAAGTTTTTTCTTTTTCTCTTTACTTCTGTTTTAATGTACACTTTTATATCTTTTTTTTATGTTCCTAGATGTCTTTTTGCAGATACTTTTATTCTTTCAATATGTCTTATTTTCGTGAGTATTTATACTATAAAAAATTGTAAATCTGTCGGTAATACATAACATTTGTGCAGTGCAGTAACAACAATATATATTTGCCACTTTCCATAAACCACTCATATTTTTTTCATCAGAAGTGTTTCCATTTTAAATTGTATTGTCTGTTGTAATACGGATACTATTCACTATTTCATTTATTTTTCTATGTCCCTTCAAAACGCACAATCTTTTTTCTTTCAAGATTTATTAAAGGACACATGATGTTTCAACAGGACATCGATATGTACACGAGTTAACTTTCGAACGAAAATTATTTTTACCATCTGTTGCAGCCTCTGTAAATGTTTTTCTTATTTATATTATCGGAGTGATTTAAGGAATGGAAAATAGAGACGCAGGATTATCGTCACGAAGACAATTCTGACTGTTTTTAAAGAACATACCGAGGATGCCAGAGGGCGTGAACTAAGGTATTTCGAGCTTTGAATACGCTAATCCGCTGGTTCCTTTTGCCGTCAGATTTACGGTGATTTGTTTCTTAATATTTCAAGATGGAATGAAGCTCGAAGGACGGCACCAGAAACGGCAAACAAACAAATAACGACGTTTCCTCCCTCGATCTCTTCATCTTCGGTTACAGTCTTATCTTCAGAGGTGTCCTCCAAAAACGCAAATAAAAAAAATATTTTTAAGTTAATGAATCGTTAAACATCAACATAAAAGAGGTTACCTTATCTAATGGTAACCAAAAGTCACTTTATTTTGTGTCAGTACTGCTATACTTACGTTATTCTACTATTTATTACTAGTATTTTACCACTATTAGTATTCAACTATTTATTACTATTATTCTACTACTATATCATTTTAACATTTTTAACGGTTTTTTTCTAGTTATGAGTTATCCAAGGCATCGCTCATAAGAACCAAATTCTTGGTTTCTTTTTAAGCAATACATAAATTGCATGTGAATGCATTAATTACATCGTTATGTTTCCAATCCTGCAGGAAGTGAATCGCGAATCTACGCTAACGAGGGGTGAGCCAACATGTTTTCCACGAGTCAAAGTCACCGCATACGCAAACGAGGGAA